TTATGTTAATCCCCATACATTACATCATTAGTTTTAGATGTAGTGTTCCATGATTCATTGTTTGTGCATAACACCCAGGATTTTTTTTTTTTTTAAGTAGGCTCCATGCTCACCATGGAGCCCAACATGGGGCTTGAACTCATGACCTGGAGACCAAGATTTGGATGCTTAACCGACTGAGCCACCCAGACACCCCTGAGATAGATTTTTCTAAAAGCATTTATGTGATGCATCCAGGTCCCTTTCTCCTGCAATTGTAAATTTTCATTTATGTATTTATTTTTATACTTGGAAAATATAATTTTTCTTTCATAGTGTGTTGTACAGGGCTATAAAGATCTAGTTCCTGAAATTGGAAAACTGATAATAAGTATTAAATGAGATGAATTTTAAATCTAAATGGATTAATGCTAATCTTTGTTTGGCTGATTTTCTTAGCTGTTATATCCATGACCATGTTACATATCTGTGTGAAATTTGAAAGTTAGTTTACATTTGAGATCATCTGCAACACTAAGAGTTTGGACCAGATTAGCTCAAATGCCTTTTCAGCTCTGAAATATATAATTCCTTGAGGGTTTTTTTTTCCCCAAAAATAAATGTGTGCATTAGATTTGTGTGTGTGTGTGGGTGTTTAGGGGTGTGTATATACAGACCCCCTCCACACACATGAATAATAAATGAAAAGGAAAAGAGAAAAAACCCAAAGTGATTGTACTGTTGCTATTTTAGAGTTACTGGTTCAGAAGATTGATTATAAAATAATTTAAATAATTTAAAAACATTCTAGATGTTGATTGTGTTGAGGAGAAAGTGAAGAAAATGGGAAGGTAACTAATATAGTTTACTATAGCTATCCTTAATACCAAGAAAAAGGAAGTTACAAGGGCAAAAAGAAAAAAAAAATCAGCTTAAGCTGGTCTTCTGTTTTACCTCCTCCAAAATGAGAGAGTAACATGATCACTAGCTTCATGAATGCCAAGCTCTTAAATCCTTTGCAGTAACAAGGGCATGTTTTAGTGTTGTCAGGACTTTTGTTTGCACCTGGCATTACACTTGATCACTGAATAATTGAGTGATAATGACTGTTATTTTTAAACTAAAGTATAACATCAGGGGAGGATGAGAAACACAAAACGCCCAACTTCCCAAAGGGAGTAGGGAAAATATTTATAAGTGGAGCATGATAGAACTGTTGAAAGTACATGCAGCCAGCAATGGAAACTCAGAGTAGAAGTCAGGGAATGATTTGTTTGGCAGCTCAAAAAATCAGACTCTTTTGTTTCATAAAGATGAAAATTCAAACAAAGAAAAACCAGTAGAATGTGGACACCAGTGAACTGGGATTAGGAAACTCATATCTAACCAAACACAACTATTCAGGACCAAGGACAGGGACACAGGCATACCTCTCCCCACTTAAAAAAAATTTTTTTATGAACTCTACATAGCTATGGTTTTAAGTTATCCATTTGCTTCATTTATTTATCCAGCAATACCTAGTTAGTATCTAATATATGACAAAACAAGACAGACCGAAACTCTGCTCTCATGGGACTGTATTCTCTCATGTTCCTTTCTAAAGTTGGTTCCTTCCTAAAGTTATATGCTCTTTCTCTTCCTCTGGGGCTTGGCTCTCCCAAGATAATTCCTATCTCCCATATAAATACCTGTTCTTAGATTTTCAATCTAATTGTCTTTCTCCAGTATACCCATCCTCTCATAGGCTTCTGAAGTCTTCTATTTCCAGCTCTATTGAGCTTGCTAGAACTGTTCTTATCTTTTACAACCATACTGTGAAAACAATACCCATTTCCCCCCTTTTTTAAAATGGCTGTTCCAAAGTTGAATGAAGTGTGCTATGAGTAGTTTAGGGATTAAGTATCAGTCAGGATCTTGCTGAAGACCAGTCATGTGGAATTAAATTAGAAAGCATCGGCTCTTGATTTATGGTTGCAGTGATACCCAGAAACACAAAAGAAGACATAAAGTGTTTAATAAAAAAGATATTTATTTAGGTCCCAATGATTTGGAATTTGTCAAATTTGTATATCTGAGAGGCAATCTGATATAGTGGAAAAACCTAAATTTGGAGCCTAAAAACCTTCTCTTTGACTCCCACATTGTCATTTATTGGCTTTGTGCCTGTGTTGACATTACTTAGTATCTCTGAACCATGATTTTTTCTTCAGAAATAAGAAGATTGTAATATCCACCTCAGTTCCATTGGAAGGTTTAATGTATGTAAAGCATCTAGAAAAATATATGTAAATTCCCTGCCCTTCTGCTAAGTAGTTTTAATGAATCAAATAACTCCTCCTTATTTTGAAAGTTCTGTGTTTCAGGTTTTTTTTGATCGACTTTTCCATTGCAATTCTAGATCACTCTGCTTTTACTCAGAGTTAGCTTTAGAACTAGAGTAGAAGCAATACAGAAAAAATTGTGTTGCTTTTATTTTGGAAAGGAACTAACATTTACTGAACCCTTATAGGATCTGAGGGACTCTGCTAGGAGCTTTGCATAGATTATCCTATTTTAACTGCAAGAGAAACCATTTTCAGTGTATTTTCAATTTCTTTCTCATCTAGGCTTCTGTGATTTTCACTCATGCCTTTACTCTTACAACAGCTCCAGTTTATGTGACTGTTTGGGAAGTATGGACCTGGTCCTAGATATTTCTTTACATTGAGTGTATAAAGAGGAGATGGTTATTTATCATCCTTGTACCGAATATCCCATAAATCTCCTGTTATCATAACACAGAATGTTTCTAGGACACAGGTGACATTGTGTATCTGATTGCTTGGAAGATTACTAGTAGTGATAGCTCTCAGTTGGGCATGAGTGAAAATGGAGAACCAGTTGCCTTTTCTACAGCATATGTCCTTACAAGTGTTTGTTGGATAAGGCTGTGATTTATTCAGCCTTTTGTATTGGTGTCTCCGCCTCTGTTTTTTTAAGATTTTTTTTTTTTTTTGAGAGAGAGAGCTCACGAGCAGCAGGGAAGGGCAGAGGGAGAAGCAGACTCCCCACTGAGCAGGGAGCCCAATGCAGGACTCAAAAATCCCAGGACTCTGGGATCATGACCTGAGCCCGGAAGCAGACGCTTAACCAACTGAGCCACCCAGGCGCCCCTCCACCTCTGTTTTCTTAAGCCCCTAAAATAATCTCTTGCTGTCTATATGCATTATAGCCATTCTTTCCTTTTGATCCGCTGCAGTTGTACACAATGTGACATTATGTACCTATATAGTGTTTGGAATTGCAAAAAGAAAATTGATCAACTTTTGGATGTTAACAGTGATATTATTTATTCTTTTTGCTTACCTTGCTTACATTATGTTGTTTAGTTTCTTCCTTCCTGTCCAAGCTCAAGTCATAATTCTTCTTGGCTTTCACTTTGCTGAAACCATATTAGTTTGCTTGCTTACTTGCTTGCTTTTTTCTTCTCTTCTCTTCTCTTCTCTTCTCTTCTCTTCTCTTCTCTTCTCTTCTCTTCTCTTCTCTTCTCTTCTCTTCCCTTCCCTTCCCTTCCCTTCCCTTCCCTTCCCTTCCCTTCCCTTCTCCTCTCCTCTCTCCTCTCTTCTCCTCTCCTCTCTTCTCTTTTTCTCTTCTTCTCTTCTCTCCCTCCCCTCCTCTTCTCTCTTCTCCCCTCCTCTCTTCTTCCCTCTTCTCTCTTCTCTTCTCTTTTCTTCTCTTCCCTCTCTCTCCCTTTCTCAGGTACATTCATTCTTAACTCAGGGCTTTCCAACTCCTTCTTCTGCAAGGAATTCTTTCCCCGGTGCTGGGTTAAGGCTGTCTCCTCATGGTGTGTGTCTGAGCTCAAAGTATCACCTCCTCCAAGGAGCCTTTCCTGGTCCCCCTTTCAAAAGTATCCTTCTACCAACTCATTTTAAGTAATATTATCTTGTATTTTCTTCATTTGCAGTTCTTATTGATTGTCATCTATCTTTGCCTGTCCCCACTTGTCAGGCTCAGGGATCTTGTTCTCTTTTGTTGCTAGCTATGTCATAAACACATAGAATAGCACATGGCATATGTTGTATAAATGGGCATATTAAGTGGTAGCTATGCTCTGGGTAAACAGAAAACAGAGGCTCATGTTGGTTGGAATATCCCCAGAGTAAAGTTCTGGGTTATAGAGCATTTGGGGCTGGAATCATTTTGAGGACGTTGACCACCATCTGTCAGCTTTGTAGTTTTTTTCTTCCAGAACCTTCCTGGCACTTTAGCAACTGTTCCTGAGGCAAGTTTTTATCCCTTTGATTCAGTCAAAAGAAAATCAACTGGAGCTAATATTTGTCTTTTCCAGAATGAGTCCTGATTTCTGAAGTATGGTAATAAAAAATGTCTTATTCTTTTAATGGTCCAACTATCTTTTAAAGATGGACCAACAGATGCAGTCAAACAAATACAAGGCATAGGGATTGTCACTCTAAATACATTATTGCACACTTGATCCTTTCATTTTCTCTGAGAGGGAGGAATGTCAGGCATTAACGTTTTTTAAGTTGGGAAATAGGCGAAGTGGTGTTTGAACCTGGAATATCTGATTCCAAGTTTGCTTCTCCACTGTGTTCTGCTGCCTCCCTGAGGATTCTGTATTCATCCAGTTAGGCAGTAGCTATTTTGCTTGCTTTTGAGTATTCTTTGAAATGATAAAGTCCAATGGGATTTTATACTGAAGAATTTTTTTTTAAGGATGCTAAATTTTTAAGTCATGAGAGTGTGGACTCAGAGTTCCCAAACTTCCTGACCCTTTAAGATCACTCTTCCAACTGTTGCTGGGATCCTTCAAGCTTTCTCGGAATGCATTTTACTTTTCTGGAACTATTTGGGTTACTCAGAGTTCCCATTTTCATTCTTCTGTACAAACACAACATAATGAAAAATGTGGATCTGTACTTTATAAAGAGGCAAATGCTAAACAGGAGAAACAGAACATCCCAATCTGAATGCTTCACCACCCATTAAAATTTATTTAAAAATATCTTCTTAGACTCACTCTTTTGTGTTACAAATAACCTTTTTTGATATACTTTACATGAACTTTCCTGTTTTAGCATCTTGAACTCAGAGCTTTTTCTAAGATGCACTTGTTCTGATTAATTATACTCTATATTCTCATGTCGATTCTCAGATGGTCACAGTGTGACCTCTGGAGCTCCCTCGGTGGCCCAGTCAGCCTCAAGCCCAGGCACTTCTGAAAGCATTTTTGTTTTCTGAGACCCACAAGAAGTTCCAGTCCATCTTGATTTTCTTCTGTTCCAACGCTTGGAATCCATTATTCTCCAAGGAACTCTGAATCTTTTTAGTGGTGAGTAGTATTCAAGTCTAAAGTTTGGCTACTGTTCCATTTTAAGTACTTCAGGAAGGAAGAAATGACTTCTCCATTAGGTCATTTTAAGGAGAGAGCTGAAAAGATAATTTTTGGGTTAAGGTCACGAGTTCAAATAGCTCTTGTCAATTTAAATCCAGCTTTACTAAATCCATTTTTGTTTTGTTCTAATATAAATTTTTCATAAGTATTTCTGCTCAACATACCTACTCTAGATCTTTAAGGCCCTCATGCTAAGTATACTTTTCTCTGCTTGAATCTTTATGTCTTGTGCATCATTTTACTGATACAGGTATTTTGAGATTATCTAAGGTTGACATAAGAGAAAGGGGAAGGACGAGTAAAAAAGAGCCTTGCATTTTATCTTGTAAGTGGCATCATTTTTTTTTTTAACCATCTTTGTTCTTTCTCTTGGAAATGCAACATGTATTTTTTGAGGCACAAGGGGAGGAGGTGGGTTGCCAGGGGTTGGAGGAATATAGCTGATTTTGTATTTACAAGCTCCTTCCTCACCATTACCAGTAGCAAATACCTCTGGTTTCTGGCAGGTAGGACTTGGGGGGTGCGGTTCCTTTAGATTTATCTCATACATACCTTGACTCACCATTATTGCATGAGCTTGAGAACCACAGCTATGGACCTTTGACTTTGGACTTGCCAGTTCACATTTAAAGGTTAATTATCTTAGTAGAACTGCTACTATCAACCATTGTGTTCAATGTATAAGAAGATGGTATGCTAAAAATCTGTTTGACCAGTCCCTAGCAGTTAATGTATTTCTGTGTATTTAAGCATTCTGTGTGTGGTGTGTGCACACACATACACACACACATTAGGCCACACTGCATCATCTGGAGGAATTGTGAGTGGGTGTGTGTGATTGGCAAGTGTGAAATTGAATTTAATATGAGATTCTCTGTCTTAGGTAAAATATTTGAAAGAACACTGATAGCAAAAAGCTGTCTAGCTCTGGAAAAATGGCTTATGTATTTGGGGAGCAAGAGATCTGAATGTTAAAATTTCATTTAAATGGCAAAACACTTTTAGGACTAACTGAAGAATTTGGCTTTAGTGGGAAAACTTTAATTTGCTTATAACATGAGGTACAAGTTATTAATTGCACCAAAGATAACACACTAATTAAAAGGTTCATGTATAGTTGTCAGAGGTTAACAGTGCACACTGACAGACTTGGAATAGAAACTAATTATATTATGTTCTCTAAACGGAGTATTTTTACCCACTAATGTAAGATACCTTACTATAGTACTGTTTTTTTCTTAGCTTGGAAAGAAATCTTTTAGATGTTCTTTGTAATAAAACTGCAATGATAAGCATTCAAGCCAACATGAGGCTATATACATAGCATTGCTTGCAACATTAGCTTCAAGCATAGTTATAGAGATAATTCCAAGTAAACATTAATTCATACTTGAGGCTTAGAAGAAAGATACACAAAGTGGAACTTTCCCTTAACTTGGCTGTCCTGGGTTGAAGGAACATCACAGATTTTTGGCGATACACTAATGCTTCTTTTTGAGTTACTTGATTAATAACAGTCATCTTTTGGCTGTTCGTATGCCAGAGATTTGGGCTTATTCCCTCTTCCGTTGCATTTTAAGCCTCTTCATTGTTACGTATGTAATATATACATGCATATAGAACTATACATGTGGATTTAAATAATGAAATATATTTTATATACAAGAGTATGATTGATGAGGACTTTTAAAGAATAATAATAAAATGATCACCTCCTTACACAACACCCAACTTAATTGAAAGTTGTCAGTGATTTTGAAGCCCCCCCCCCCCCCCCCGCCCACCCCCGTGTCCTTTCCATTTGCTGCTCCCTCCATCCCCACCCCCAAAGGTAGTCATCCTCCTGAATTTACCATTTCCTTTTCTTTCTTTATGGTTTCACCAGCATCGAGTTATCCCTCAACTATATATTGTTCAGTTTTGCATACTTCTCATCTCTGTAACAGTGGAATTATGCTGTACATTTCCTTCTGTGGCTTGCTGTTTTCCCCCCAATTATTATCTTCGTGATACTCCTCTTGGTTGATGCACGGGGCTGTACTTTTGTTTTCACTGCTCTGTAGTATTCCATTGTATGAATATACCACCTCTGTCAGTGGACATTTGATGTGTTCTGAACATCCCGCCATTAGGAACAGTAGCCCCACAAACATCCGAGTGTCTGCGCCCCAGTGCAACATGCAAGGGTTCCTTTTATCTCCTTACCAAGGGGTAGAACTCATGCGTTTTCAGGTAGGATAACGGGCTTGACTAGGTCACGGTGAACTGTTGTCCAGAGTGGTTGCACTAATTTACTCTCCCACCCAGAATGTATCTCTGCTGGACATCTTGTCCAAATCACTCTCCATAATAATGTCTCCAGATATTTGTAGGCTTGCTTGATCGTCTAATTAAATCAAAGGGAAACTTCTTATAAAATGGAAACTTAGAGGAGTTCTGCTTTGATAGCATATTTCTTTGCTTACCATGCTTCGTCAAAAGCGCTCAATATTTTTAATCAAATATTAAACATGTTCTGTAACCAACCTGAAACTTACAGTGTTATTGTAGGCACGCAAACTCCATAGCTCGGTTGGGATGTAGCTAAGTTATCTGATTTACTTTCTCTGTTTCCTGGGCTTTCTTCTGCCACCCAACATGGTTAGATTATTATTTTCAAATAATATAATCTAGATACCAAAAAGAGGAAGAAAAGATATTAGCCCTCGTAAAATGTAATTCAGATCATAGATAAACTGTGAAAAGTATGGTGGATTTCATTTCTTAGTGTATGACTTCTAGACTTCAGAACTGTTTCTGGACTAACTGATCTCCTGGGTTGTCTGTGGCATTCCTTTTCTCCATTAACATGGACATATTGAGTATAGATCATTTTCCTTAAAAATAGTCTCTGACATAGTATTTCCCTAACTCTTTCCTTGTTCGTGGAGCATAAATGTTGAAATGAAGATGTCAGTGACTTCTGAAAGACCCACCTTCTTAAACTTTATCACAGAAGCACCCTGATGACAAAGAAGGTAGAGAAGTCCTATCCTTCAAAGTCACTAGCTTGCAACAACTCTTCAAAGTCCCTTGTTTTATTTTTTAATGCAGATTTTACATTCTTTTGTATAGTGTCTCCGTGTTTGCTATAATACATAAGTCATAATTCCCTTTCTCTCCCCATGCTTTGAGTAAAATTGGTTATTTAGGAACTATCACCTTCACTCCGTAATTCTGCAAAGGTTTTGTATGTATCCCAGGTGTCTGTGTGCCCCAGTAGTGGGGCTCCAGACACCACACATTTTAATAATAAATATGAGCTGTGGGGGTCTCATCACCTTGAGGGTCAGTGACCACTTTTTTGGAAGCTTCGAACACTGAGGAGAATTCACATCTCTGTGGGTGACTCTAACTAAGGCTTCCAGCTACGTCCAGTCTCCATGATAACCTCCTTTGAGAATCTGACACAAACCATACTACATTATAAATGGTAGCACTTCTTACGTGAAGTAGGTTTAGAAGAACATTCTAAGGAAAGGCAGAGTTCTAAGGAGGAGAGTGTTAAGATGTGATTTAGTCATCTTTTTTCATCTTTACAATGATTGTAAATAGTATCTCATCATTGGAGGCCTCTCCAGCCCTGTCCTCCTGCCCCACTAAGAGTCTTCTTTGCTGTACCTTGTCTGTAGCTTCTAAAGGGTCCTCATTACTTTATGAACCTGACCAATATGTTTCTGGTCATGAGCATCTTATGGTAGGGGGCTGGCCACCATGAGCCTGTGGTTATTCCACTGTCCAGAAACCCTCCTTCTTCAAAAGAAGAGCTATGAATTCACAAAGCCATTCGGTTGTATACAGCAGCAACTTTATAAAGCCTCTAATCTGTCTACCAGTCCCATTGGATATATTACTTAGTGGGTTGGGTTGAGATGAAGCAGTAGTGACTTTGTGTGTTCTATCCTCTTCACCTTGGACTTGGCTTCTACCAGCTGGTGGAAAGTGTTCCTCTTTATCTGTTCTGTTTGTTCTTGTCCTTTGGTAGCTGGACCTTTGGGCGCACGGGTTATTGGAGCTTAAGCATTTTGTGTGTTTCAGGCATGTGCCTAGTGAGACCTGAAACCAAGAACTTCTGATGCATTTTTTTTAGCATGAGAAGTTTTCATTACAGGGCTCCCCAAATTCTTGGATGTAAACAAAATAGCCTAAGAGTTTAATGCTGAAACTCTTCTCCTACAGTGATTGTAATTTTGACTAGAAGTGTCAATTCAGGGCTAAGTTAATAAGTTTATCATTGAGGTTTCAAACAGGTTTAGATGAAAATTGAGACCTTCCTAGAGATTCTGAATTCTTATCATGATATAAAATTATTAGCTCATTGAATGTGATTTTGACTGTTTTGCATTCTCCAGGAGGAACTTGGGCCTTATCCATGAGGCCATTCTCTGGACGCCAAAGCAGTTAGTGATTTTTGTGGCAAAATCCAGTCATCAGCTTCATGAAAACCCAATCTAGTTGTATTGTCTAGCATAATCTATAATTACTCCCATGCTTCCAAATTATCAATCAATTTGTTTAATGCTTAGTTTGGAGACCCTGGCATTCAGAATTTATTATAGCTAAGGAAACAAGCAAGTAAGTCATCCCTCTGAAGCAATAGATTTGCCAGATGATTGTTGTTGTTTGAGCAAGAGATTAATGAAATCAGAACTATTTGTGGCATAAATTAATCATTATATCTTAACCACATTGATGGCTAACATGACAGTAGCAAAATGGTAAGGTTCAGAGATTCCTAGCCAGGCCTTTTCTTTCCCATCTATTGCCTTCCTTACCTGATCTTCACTATCCTGCTTCTTTCGAAGTTTCTCTTCTTTTAACACATCACCAGGGACTGCTGTTCCATCGGACGTCTTTCATCTCCTCTTCCCATTTCTCTAGATCGAGCCCCTCACCCTGCCTGCCTTTCTGTCTCTCACACTTGATTCTTCACTTGGCCATCCCAGTAGATGTTTACGAGCTTCCTTTATTCCCTCGGTGAAACAAACCACATCTCTTCTCTTCTTTGAATCTCACCTGTGCTTTGAAATGTTGTCATGTGGGCAAGATAAGAGTATAGACCTGATCATGCTCTCCAGCTAATATGTGTATATGGGGGTGCACAGAGACATTTCCTCATGCTTTGCATTTTAGAATGTGAGCTCCTTCTTAAGGGAAACATGCTGGGCTTTTTCATCATTTCCCAACAACAAAAATTATTGCACAACTAGGTTGGCCTACGCTGCCCTCATGTCCAATGTTGCCAAAAGAAACGACTTAATCCCTGTATTTTCCTGACCTATTTTTTGTTAAATATCTCATCTCCTACTGTCGTGAATACGAAAGTGGTGATTCTGCTGGGAGACAAATACCAGCATAGGACCACTGGATTTTGAAAACAACAATGAAGCCGACTTTGGAGCGATGTGTGATTGTCTGGTGCATTCACTCTTGGATTATTGTTGTGTGTCGTTTCTGTGAATGCATAGTTGGGTTCAAGTCATGTTGTATAATAGCAGCTCTTTTATTTTTTATGTCATCTTTGGGAGTTCGAGAAAAACAAATTATATGGAATTTTCTCTAGAAAACCTACCAATGCAGTTTAAATGTTAACGATTACTTTCTGTTGCCTTTCTCTTTTAGAAAACATTAGGAGTTTCAGGTTTTATTTTAACTTGGAAACTAAGGTCAAAAATTGCCATCTCCCTCCATCCTTTTATTGTTTTCATTTGCTCATTCTTAGCATAGGAGTGCATCCTACTTAGTTATGTTGGCATTGTGCTGGGTGTTCTTTAATATCATCAGAGATCAACTAGAAGAAAGTTGAGCAAGTGGTGGACTCACGCTTTACGCACATTCACTTGTCTGGTCCTCACGGTGGATGACGCTATAAAGTCAGGATGGTCATCAACTTGATTTTGTGAGTGAAGAAACCCACACTTTGAGATGGTCAGCCCCTTGCTCAGAGTCCCACAGCTGGCATGGAACCTCGCCCTTGTTTGATGTCATAGTCCAGTGTTCTTTCCTCATTCTGCAGTTTTATACTTTCCAAATGTCTTTAATGAACAAACATAATTTTTATGATGAAAAGAGCCTGATGAACATTAATCTGTAAAAGAAACTCAATAGATACAAATAATAATTTAAAACATGGGTCGGCCAACTATGGCCCGTGGGCTGGTTTGCCTGTTTTTGTCAATAAAGTTTTATTGGAATGCAGCCACGCTCATTCATTTATGTACTGTCTTCTGTGGTTGAGTTCATGCCACCTCAGGCAGAGCCGATGGCCCACAGAACCTAAAATATTTATGATCTGGTCCTTTAAGAAAAAGTTTGCCAACCCCTGATTTAAAATAATGTGGAAAAAAATGCGTTGTTATTTTTATTAGTAGCATTAGAATTCTACCGGCAGGCCAATGTTATACTTAATGGAAGAAGCAATATTATTTGACAGTGTTTTCAAATTCCTAGAAACTGAGTTACTGAGATTAGTCTTCAGTAGGGTATCATGGAATTCTCTTATGTTAGTTTCTCAAAAAAATTTTTTGTAATGATTGTAAAATACTTCCTCTGCTCTTAGTTTTGTTAAAAAGTAACATTTGAGAGATCTTTGTGGAGTTCTTCATTTTGACTACAATGTAATTTTTTTGGTCAAACTTCAATACTAAAGATTTTCTTAGAAACCTCACTGTTTTTCATTAAACATGGCAGCATGGATCTGAAAATTGTTTCCTTTTCTTGAAGGTCTGTTCTTGTAGGTTTGACTTGCATAGTATTTATTGGTGCTTATCTTACTGGAGGCTGGCTTTCTGGCTAATATTAAGGGAAGACATTTTAGAAGTAAGAATTAAACTTGAAGCATGGGAGAGTGGGGCTTTTTTCCACTAATGTTTGATTTTTCCTCCTAGTTTTGACTGTAAAATCTTGTTCCTGAATGACTATAGCTTTTATTTTTGTGTTCCTGGTACTGCACATGGGCTGGCAAACAGTGGGCACTCAAGAGATGCTTATTGTTTCTCTTATTAGAGGGTGGGAAGGAACTTCAAGGAAGAAAGGGAGTTGTAGTGTCTCAGGATACCATGTATTGATAAGCTACCTGGGGGGGGGCTGGTTTCCCCTTTTCCCTTATTGACATGGCCCAAGTTTTATTTGGTGGGTATTCAAGTGACAGGAAACTGTAATATTCTCCTTCCCTTTTCTGTTTCTACCTTCCCTCAAGTAATTGTACGATTTAATTGAGAAGAGTCCATGCTACCCCAGGAAGGAAGGCCAAGGGAGCTTCGTTGGTGGCATCTCGGTAGGGAAGTTTGTCAAAACAAATCTGTTTAGATTAGTGGCTTGGGGGCAGTGGTTTTCCCAGTATGGTTCCCAGAGCTCAGGGAGTGACCTTTATGGCTGAAGAAAATATTAGTAATTCTATATTTTCAGTCCTTTCTTATTATAATTTTTGATGTATTAAAATATGCATAATTTATCAGCTGGCGGCCATTGTGTATATAATTTATAAAAAAGTAAATCTGCATATGTTGGGGGTGGATGCCCATTTTTTAGAGGGACAGTACAGCGGTTCAAGAGCGTGGGCTTTGGAGCCCGCTTGTCTGCATCACCATGTAGCCTTGGCCAAGGTGCTCAGTTTGTTCTCCTGTAGAATGGGTACAGTGATAGTACCAGTCTCTTAGGTGGTTGTGGCGACTTAATGAGTTAACACATAAAAAGGGCTTTGGACTATGTTTGGCACCATGGCAAGTATTAGAAAAGTGTTAACTATGATTATTTCTATGAATATCTTTAGTAGAGGCATGTAATAAAAATAACTGGAGACTACTTATTTAGAATTTAAGATGTCAGAATCCAACCGTTCTCAGTTTGAGTCCAGATTTTCCTGGTGTGTGATTGTGGACAGGTTACTTAACCTCTCTGAACTTTGAGCCTTAGGTACAAATGGGGATAGTAATAGTAGTAGTAATAATAATAATACTAATAATAATACCGTATTTCATCGACCTAAGGCACACATTTTTTCCACGTTGTAGGATATCTGTACTTGGGTTTTATCTTACCATCAATGGTGTCTTAGATTTTGTGAAACCTAAGATAGTTGTAAAGGAGAAATAAGATAAAGGGACATGATTAGCATAATACCCAGCGTACGGAAGGTGCTCAGTCAATACTGTTATTAAGACACATTGGCATATGGATTATTCGAAAGCATAGTGGCATTGAGTGCAGAGGTTTGGAGATCAACACTTGGTATCTGGTAGGTGTGTCACTGTCAGCCTTCCCAAGTCTTGGAAATGCTTCTCTGGTGCCCTGCCTGAGAAACTTGGCAGCATTTTAATGTTCTGGAACCCTTTGTGAAGCATTCCAGTGTGATACCATTGGTTCATACGATCCAATGCTGCTGAGGTGGTTGGTACCAGTCCTGGTCGATGAGCAGGGTATTTGTTGATGACAAGGCTGTGTCAGGAGTTAGGGCCTGTGCTGAGGGGGTGATGTGCGTGGGATGTACCTGTTTTATTTACATAACCCTTGGTTTCTGTTCACGCTGTCGTGCTGCCTCCTCCAATAACAGATGTTGAAACACGCGAAGGAAATATGCAGACACAGAGTACAATTGGATGCAATGTGGCTTCCTCTGCCAACAGAACATTAGCAAGTTGTTCCTCTTAGGTCTCTTAAATATAGCAGCATCTCTTTTCTTTGGAGAAGAAAATCCTGTCCTACAAGTAACAGGAGATCCTTTTCCAGTTCTTCAACGCCCCGTTTTTGCTGAGGTGGAAGACTTCTGGCCTACATAAGAGTATCGCTTCTCACATTGGGTCAGAAGCAAGAATTTACAGTTGTCACTTTGGAGCCGGTGACTCTTGTGTTGAAGCCAAAGATTGATGCTTGCCATGGTTTTTGCTCATCTTAGACATCTCATACACCCTTAGTAGATGGAAGAGAACTGACTTGGAAAGAACTTTTGTAGAGGGCCTTGCATCTTTACCTCATACCTGGGGGGGCGCCAGAGATGTTGTCCAGGGCTTCTGTACTCACGACCGCTCCCTGTCCAGGCAGGTCTGTGTTTGAAGCGAGAGGGAAAGCGTATTTTCAGCTTGGTTAGCACCTCAGGCTCCAGGCATGCACTCCCTGCCTGCTGAGCGGATCCTGAGCTGGGTCTTAGATCCTTCCAGGACCGCTAGGGAGGAGATTGGTTTAGCCATGATCACGAGGTTGACATCCTTTGTATTTGGGGGTGAAGGGCAGGGATAAAAGAGGGCCTTTAACCTGAATCCTGGGGCAGTTTTACTTCTATCATTCTCTTTATTGTGGATTTTTAGAATCCGTCTGGCCCTAAAAATCTGGTTCTGGGAAAAGTGATGGATTCTTCGTACTTTGCCTAGCATGCTTTTATTTCTTTGAATCAGAAAACCTTGCCTTAACACTACACTCGAACATAGCTTTAGTTAACATTATGAGTATTTGGAACACATGCCATAAAGACAGACGCAAAGGAGTGCATCTCAGATAATTCACACGGACTGGGTTTTGTATGTCGTCCGAAGGAGACGCCGCCTGGCTTCCTTTGAGCAGCCGCCTGCCTTGCTAAGACCCGTGTGGGAACACCTAATTCTCTTCTTGCCTACTGGCTTTCTAATTTTTCCCCTGTGATCAGAGTTATAAAACCTAATTTCCAGGGGGTCTTGTGAATCATATTAGTAGCTTTGTGTTATAATAGCAATTTTATATTGCACTGGTATTCATTGTCACTATTACGGAATAATCAAATCAGCACCCCTCTTATTATGCCGTTGAAATAGAAAATAATGGGAACTGCAATGTAAAACCACTAATGTGATGACACCCACTCATTGTGCGAGGTAAGAATGTCCTCCTTTCTTGTTCCAGCTCACTTGCAACTGTGATTGAGGAAGGAAATGGAAAGTATTTCTACATCTGTGATAAAGCCCCGCATATATCCTTCATTTGAATACCTAATTGTCTTTGTACGGCCCAGGGGGTGCGCGTTGCTCCCCCCCCCCCGGCCTCCCCTGCCACCTTGGCAATGTGCTGGCGAGCAGGGGGGCTGCACAGCCCCGTTTCATACTATGCTTTCCCTTTTAATCATGA